GGAAACAGTTATATGATTGTTGCTGTGCTATTCATGATTCTCGTTTGGAACACGGTGCCAAAAAATTTACGCCAGGTGTTGTTCCTCTCGGAGGAATTGACCTTGTTCTTGAAGACAATAAGAATGGTGATGATCCAATAATTCATGTCAATACTCAACGAACAACTCCTTCCAAATCTTCAAAAATTATTACTGAATTTAGTATTTTGCTTAACGCTACCATGGCAAGGTACTTTTATGACAATAGAATAGCTGGTCTCTACAAAGAATTTTATCAAACATATAACAGATTGCTTCCAGAATCTATAAAGGATATGGACATTGAGGAGTTTATTGAAGTTGCATCAATATTAGACCCTGAAGGTAATGAAACTAATTATCTTGCGCAAGGAAAGAATCACCAAACTGAGAACTATCAAGCTTTATTGAGGTTTGAGAATGAACTAAAGCAACAGGGAAGTAAGAAGACAACAAACATTAGCAAAATAACGACAAATCCAACAAAGTTTTACCAAAACATCATTGGTGTTGAACTGTACATGCAACTTTCTTCTCCATTGAGGAGATGGCTTGATTTAGTTTTACAAGTTCAACTAGTTCATTATTTAAATACAATTGAGTCCGGAGCAACTTGGACAGGAATTGAAAACAGTCTGTTCAGCGAGGAAGTTTTACATTATTGGAGTGAAAAAGTTTCAGATAAGATTGAAACAGTGAAAGAAATGGAAAAACAAGTGCTCTATCACTACTTCCTTAAATTTTTAAAGAACAAGATGGAATCTTGTGATAGTGAGCACTTTATTTTGGAATGCGTTTCTGAAATTAATTTCAGAAAAGGAAAAAGATTATCTCACTCACATCGTGACAAGTCGGGTGTGCATAGAGATTACAATAACTTGATCAACAGAAAAAAGCCAGTATTCACCCAATTGTTACGTTTACGATTGGTAGAGTATAATTACTTTGCTATTGAGGCCTATGTGACAAGCAACACGATTGATATGGATGAAATGACTGCCATTAAGATAATCGAAATTGATACATATTGTCACACTATTTCTGCAGAGTATGTAAAGTGAGAGAATCTACAAGAGATCCAACAGAGAGACCTACCCACTATTAGGTAGTCAGCGGTCTCTTTTAATAAATTAATCTTGTCATGTGATGACAAGCAGTATGAATAGCGACGAGGGATGAAGTGGAACATCGTTTGATGCCAACAACGCCAAAAGTTTTACCGAAGCCACTGCTTGCAATTCTTACTTCCACACAGACATCTCACTTGCTTTTCACAGACATAATGGTAGTCAAAAGTCAATTCTTCACCTACTTCAATGTTTCTCTTACAAAAGAAGGCGATTGTACCATATCTTGAGTCCCTTATTTCACTGCAAACCAAGTACTGCTGCAAATTGCCATCACATGAATGATTCAAGAACCGAGTCACATTTCCCTTGTAGGTAGAATCAACTGTGAAATCACATACAACATCTCCATGAGAAACATCAAATAAATAACTTAATCCTTTCCTATCATAATAGCGACCTCGCATCTCTCCCACCTCATCTGAAATTAATTCTCCAGCATAAATTTCAACAAATTGTCCTCGATGCAACTTTTGGGCAGCTCTGAGACCCCCAACCTTTGCGGATTGGTTTTGAAAATAGTGACCTTAACGTCAGATCCTTTTGAACAACTCGATTAGGGCATGTGTCTGGGCACGAACACTCACTGTTGCATTCCACAATAATATATTTAGTATTCGTGTCTTTTAAGCGTTTGTTCTCGTCATAGTAAACGTCATCTCCACGACGCACGGATTGGAATTTTTCAGATTGGTTATTTGAATCAAATCTATAATCTCTTTGAAGCTGCAAACATTTACAACCTTTTCCGCACTTTTTTGCAGTCACAAAATTCAATATTTTTCAAAGCAGCCACATTTTCTTTTGTCTCCTTAGAAATTCCTTCACCAAAATCTGTTGTATTGGAATATTCAAAACTTGTGAATTTGCTAAAATCTTTTCATTCACCACAGGAATTGCATATTTTGCTCTTCCAAGAGAAATATCATCAATTCGATAGAAGTACTCTGCATTCTGTCTCTTTTGAGCTAACGTTGTAAAGGTTTCTCCGTTAATTAATTTACACACTAGAGTTCTAATGTATGAAAAATGTTTGTTGGTATATCTTTTCTTAAAAGACATTAAAATTTCCACATGATTCGGTTCAATAGATGACTCTGGGTCATAACTGTTATCCTCATCTTCGCTTTCACTTAGTGCAGCTTTTCCTGTTATTAAATTTTTAGAGGATGGGTAAGATGTCATGGTTTGAGAAATGGCCTTCTCGATCAATGCATCAATCTCTTGCTTACCTTTTAAAGCTTTTCTAAATCAAGAGTTTCTTCAGTCGAGTATTAAAACTGCTTCCATTTAAGTTCAATCTCTGTGGCAAGCAAATCCTTGTTCTTGTTCTTGATGTACTTTTTAATGGTCGCGGATCTCTTCCAAGAGCAAGACAAATGACAGTCAACCAGTGAACAGGAAACTTGGTGAATAATTCTGACTTATCAGAAAGAGTATCTAACACCAATTTTTCACTCGCTGTAAGATGTGTGGTTTTGACAAGAGTGCTGAAAATAATCCATTTGACATCCGTGATAATGGCAAGCACTTGTGACTTGAAATGATTAAAAGAATCTTCAGAAATGTCTTCTTCTTCGACAATTCCTTGAAAATATTTCAAATAATTTTCAATGTGTGATTGGAGAGGATGAGCCGAGTATTCATCAAGTGTTTCAAGAGCATTAGTACAAGGTGAGTCTAGCACATCATCTTGCAGAGTTCGTTCATCATTTTCCCAATGAGTAATGACAACTCCAGGCTCATTTGGAACTTTATATTTGAATCTAAATCCAAAATCACATCTTTCCTCTGCAATTAGCACAGGAGAGTCACAAAAGTATCCAAAGATAGCAAAGTATTTCTGGTGGTCATTCTTGTCTGCTCTTGGAACACAACTTCCTAAATAAATTGCCTTAAATTCGTCAACGAAAACTTCACATACTAAATCTGAAGGAACAAAAATTTTCACTTGTGCTAAAAGTTGTTCTTTGAGACCAGACACTCCTTCCCATTCAAACATTTCTTGAAGGAATGCCTTTTAATTTCAAAAACTTCAGAACTTGTTTTTGAACATAATTCAGCGAGACGTGGAGGAATGACATTGTCAACAATAATAGATTTTACAAAATCAATCGTTTCCACATAACTATTTTTCACTTCGGACCTTGTTGGAGGAAAGACAACATTATTTTCAATGACAAATCCATGTCTTTGCAGCCATGTACAAAGTCCTCTCTCGTTGTCAATAATTTATCTTTCTTTTCATTAATCACTGACCATAAATCATCTACAGAGATTCCTCTTTCATTGTTCAATACTTTTGAATAAATAAAATTACATCTTTAAATTCGGGATGATATTGCATTCGTTTCAAGGAAGAACAAATCCGAATATCGTAAGAAATTTTTGAATTTAAGGTTTTTCGTTTTTAGTACTCGATTTGTTGTTGTTGTTGTTGATATTGGATTGGGAACGACTTTGCTGAGGCCGTGATGATGACGGCACATGTTCAAATCGCCCTCCTTGCGTTTTGGCGCCATTTTTTTGCAAGCCTCTTTTTTCAAATTAAAGAAATGGAAACAGCCGAGTCTTTTCCTCTTAATTTCAAAGGATTAACAGTCTGGTCCTGACGACGATATCACGATTAAATCTTTAATTGTTTTGATCAACTCTGCTTCGTCCTCGTTTTATTTTTTGGTCAAAGCATTCTGTTCTTAAAAGGAAAGATCAAACAAGAAAGAGATTAATTTTTGGACATTAATTGCATCAAGAAATAATTTTAAAAATCTAAAGGTGCTCTCAATTAAGGATTGAATCTTTCCAATAGCCCACACATGAACAAATTGACTTGTCTAGATCTGAAGGATGAAGGCGTTCAATCACTCACACAAAGCCCATACATTAAGCAAGCTTGCAAAATTCAGGCAACGATGTGGGTGATTTTGGAGCCCAATGTATTGCATCAAGTGAGAACATGATTCATCTTGCAATATAAGGAACTTATTTAATTTCAGATGTTAGTCTTCAAGCGATTGCCAATAGTTCCATATTGAGGAATTTAGGACTTTGGGAAATTTCAAGTACTATTTCTTTGGCACCTTTCAATGAAGAGTCCAGTAAGGCCATTGAGAGAATGAGAAAAAGGGGTGTTGTTGTTCCGAGTTGTATCTCTCTGGCTTTGACTATTAGAAATGACCAATGTCAATGTATTGTAAAAGCGAGTGAATGAGAATTATTTGACCACTCACAGCAAGATTCAAAATAAAAGCTAAAAAAAGAATCCTCTTCTCGGCAGAAACCATTTCCGGCAATTGCCAAACCTTTCTCATCATCGTCATCATCATCGTCGAGTGGCACTGCCAAGAGAATTTTGTGGTGTTCAATTAATTGAAATCAGATCTTGTTGAGTGTTCATTCTCTTGTTGTTATTCAAATATATGATTACAACAAACATTGCTAATCTTATAGTTCTTTTCCATTATTATTATTATTATTCAATTTAATTCACCCATTCACCATTACATAACATCATCATCGCGCGATGACGAAATGGTTTTCAAAGACTGCAGCTTTCTCACATCGACCTCTTGAAGAGTGTTCATCCTCCTCTCAGAATCCTTCCTTTCCATCTTCCTTCTCCTCCTCCTCAACATTCAGAACAACACCCCTCATGCATGACATATCCTCTTCATCATCTCCAATCCACACTCTCCACACGACTCACACTCTCATTGAAGATCACAATCCTCTCACTCGAGAAGAAGAAGAACAACAACAATCCTCCAGCCACAACATCATGATGGAAGATGTTCGGAACATGACAAGGATTTCATCGTCTTCTTCTTCTTCTTCTCAAAACAAAATCATCCTCTCAAGAAACAGCTCGAACTCACAAATTCTCAACAACAAGAACATCAACAAGAACAACAACTCGTAGAAAAACAACAAAAAGTACAAGAACTTGCTCTCCGTTATCCCTCTCTCTTTCAACAAATTCTTGTCTTTGAGGATGATGAGAGCCAATGTCCAATTTGTTTGGAATTGTACAATGAGGAGAATCCTGAAGTGAAATGCAAATGTGGACATGGATTTCATTTGCAGTGTAGTGAGGAATGGAGACAACGATCTTCCGAGTGTCCAGTGTGTTTCCGAAAATTAATTTATGACTTTGAAGAAGAGGAATTACCCAAAGAGAGTGAACATTCCACAATCAAATCAAATCGAAATTCGAATGTGAGGAATTCCTCTACCTATTATAATATGAATGAACCATTGGTTCGTACGCGAGAGTCCACTCAAAGAAGAAGATTGTTTGTTCTTGGTAATGGTGGTAATGGTGGTGGTCGAACAAACATGTTGAAACGAATGTTTAGGTGAGTAGTGTGGAAGAATGTGTGTGGTCACAAAGATGTATTTACATTGTAAAAATTCATCTCATTTGGGATTTTATGAATTTATTCAACAATGAATGGTCCAATGGATGTGATTGACAATGGTGATGTGTAGATGTTTATGTTGTTGCTGTTGTTGTTGTTGAGATAATCATGTCGTTGGAGATGCATACATACGAAATTCAATATTTTCTTCCTAGGACACACAAATCTATTCTGTGTGTAACAAACAACACTTCATGAACAAATTTAAATGATTGGACAAATTTCAAATAATAATTTCAATCAGAAATAAATTGTAAAATTTTTGCGCCAACTTGAAAAAATGTCATCGGCACGAAAACCATCGGCCAGTAAGGGCGGACGAAGCTCAAAACAATTTCAAAGACCCGAACACTGTCTGACTTTTGATCCATCGGAAGTGTTTAAAGTTATTTCTTGTGATGATTTTGATTTTTATATTGACAAGAGATGTGCAGTGTTATGCAGGAAATTTAAAGAAGGTAGGTATGGAGGAGGCATGTGAGGAAATTCATGATCAGAAATACAATTAAAACAATTACGTTGTTTCAGTAATTGCTGAAGGACAATCGGAAATTCAAGTGGATTTTGAAGCTAATGTGATAGAACAAGTGATCAAATATTTGTACTATAAACAACGATATGATCCCGAATCGGAAAACAGACCAGAATTTCAAGTGGAATTGTATACTGCTTTGGACGTTATGACAGCGAGTTTTCAATTAGGTTGTTGATATATCAATCAGAAAAATTGCAAAATAATAACAAATGTTTTATTTTACAATCATTGATCGATTTAAATCTAAAGCAAGTCGTGTCATTTCAATCTTTGAGTTATGACGATTATCGACTGGAAGAGATTTCTGCTGAACGAAACGGATTGCAAGATTCGAGAATTCTTCTGGTGTTTCTGGATTTGACAGAATTGTATTATTCCAAAATTCTTCGAGAATGGAAGACTCGATTTTCTCATTTCCAAATGTTTCGAACACAATTGCCATCTCTTGAAATGACAGTTCATTATACCTCGAAAGGAAATTCTTTTCATTGAGCTTGAGTATGACGTTGGTTTGTTTAGTTATAGGTGAATAACCAACACAAGCACATCGTCTCATGCTAGGGAATTTGTTGTAAAATGCATGCTCGATACAAGCTGGAATGATCACCAGAGGTTCTTCTAGTGATTTGTTTGATCGATCGCCCTTGGCAGGTATGACATGAAAGGTTTGGCTTAATCGGCCACAATACCAAACCATTTCGTTTTCATCCTTGTATCCAATATCACCTGTTTTGTGAAATAGAACTCCATCAATAATTTCCTTAGTTTGTAGCATGGCTGTGTTATCGAGTTCGTATCTTGGACTCACCGCTTTTCCACCAATCCAAATTTCTCCAATGTTGCCGCCCGATACCTTTTCTTGATTTCGAATGAGAACAGTCACATTTGGGCATTCCTTTCCAACACAGTATCCTCGTGACACAGAATATTGAATTTCCTCTGTTTCATAAATTTTCTCAAGCTCCCATGTATTGGTTAAGCAAATGGGTAAGCATTCCGTCGCTCCATACGTTGGAAACAATAAGGCAGAAGAATCCTCATCTTTAGAAGCCCATTGTCGAAACTTCTTATGAAGAGAGAAGGGTGTTGAATTTCCTCCACAAAGTAGGACCTCCAATGGTGGAGCAACGCTGTACTCCTCCTTCACTTTAGAATTTGGTTTGTTCATTCGGGCACAATATTCCATGATTTCCATCCAAACAATTGGGCTGGAAAATCCAAATCTCGGTAAAAGTTATAGGTATGAATGGTATTAATATATTCATTCGGATCAACACTGGATGGCTTTGATAAATCAAATGGAGGAACAATTGATGTCAAACCCATACAATTCACACACAAGGTCATGACAACATTGTGGTTGATAATTCTGTCTTGTCTTCCTTTCAGTAAATACGGAGACATTAATTCTTCAAAGCTCTCAATTTGATTCTTAAGCATAGCATGAGTGATATGTACCAATTTTGGTTTTCCTGTTGTTCCAGTTGTATTTACAATTGCTACTGTGTCATCATCGTTATATGAATATAAATCATCATCACTAGAAATTGTGTTCTGTTGAATTTGATCAATCTTATTAATTCTTGGAATATGTGACCATTCATAATGATTATTTTGCCTATTAATTTATAAGCAGTTAGAGAACCAGTGAATATTAAATATTTCTTTCCAAGCGACAGCCAAGATCTTTTCTGTACAAAATGAATAATTTGCAGCATACAATAAATCAGCGGAGAAACTAGAACAGCATCGATGTCAAGTTTTGGAATCCATTCAAAAAGCTATTCAATCCACATTCCTTTGGATTTAAAACAATCACTTCTTGCCCACTTTGAATTAAAGCAAAAACAAGAGGTATTAACTGCACATCAGTTGGATCTACCAAAGCAAGAACCCTATTTCTTTTCTTTTTAGATAATTCTTTAGTAATAATTCTATTATAGAATCGAATTGATTCTCTTAATTGATGAAAGGTTATTGAATATTTAGGACTATACAAATAATCGCTCGGATACAAATTAATCTTTCCAATTGCCACAAAAATTATTAAAGGAGTAATGAGTAAGACTGTTTGAGAATATTCAAGCCATGAAAATAGCAAGGTGAAAATTATTCCTCCGATGGTATAATACAGGATCTTGTTTAGTTTTACGGCTTGCGGATAGTGCAAGGCTGGATTTTGAGCATCCTTCTCTTTGATTTGTTCAAATAGCCTTCCTAGGACATTGTCCAATGATTTTGTTGGTGATTTGATGCGAGAACGATTTCGTGGGGGTGGCACTGGAGGATTTTGAGGATTTAATTTTGATTTCAACTGTGTTTCTTCTTCCTCTTTCATAACATTGGAAATTAGATGATCTTGATTAATTTCAAGAGAGGAATCTTCTTCATTTTCTTCGGAGAAGGTTATGATACCTGTATGATCCTTGTTGAAGACAAGCCTTTCTTTGTGTGATGAATACATTTTTTAGAGAAACGCAAAGCAATAAAGGAGAATTGTTGTCCTGTCTCTTTCACAAAGCCTTTCCTACCATTTCATGTCATCAATAAACTCGAGAGAACAACAACACATTGAGGCATTTCTACTTTTTATTGGGTTTTTGATCTTGTTTTCTTTATGGCTGACGGGTTTAGGTGCACAATCCTCAGGTTTGATGAATGTGAATTATTGGTCAGTTTGACCATGTTCCTCCAAAACTTTAACAGCTTCCTTGATCTTTTGTTGGAGAGCATCTGTGGATTCAATCAAGTGCAAAATATCAGAAACTTCCATATCCAAGAGCATACCAGTAATCTTTGGAGCATTCTTTGGTTCTCGCAAATGAACGAGTGGGAAAAGTCTGTCTCCCAACAATTGCTTTTGATCTTGATCGGAAAGGTTTGCCAAATATTCAGCAGACAATTGATCAGATGATCCTTGTGGAACCTGTGAAGAAGCTTGAGTTGGTGTAATTTGTTGTGGTTGTTCTCGTGGTTGATTACGAGCATTGTTATTGTACTTGATGTTGTTGTTTGCAGTTCTGTTTCCTTGATTCTTGACAGCACCAGTTGTGGCTCCACGTCCTCTTACAGCACCACCTCTTTGAGTCATTCCTCCACGGTTATTTGCACCACCACGTCCACCAGCTGGTTGCCAACGTGGCTTGAGCATTTGACCTGCAGGTGGGAATGCTCCAGGAGCGTTTGCAATAAAGAATGGTGGCATCATTTGTGGTACCATAGGTTGCTTTCTAGCGTTGTATTGAGCTTCGAGTTGAGAACGACGAAGTTCCTTTGGTTGAGCAAAGTTGACATAGAGTGGCTTAGATCCGATCATGTGTCCATTCATTTCGGTCAATGCCTTGTTAGCTGCTTCTGGTGTCTTGAAACAGACGAAACCGAATCCTCTGCTTTGTTTGTTTTCGTTAAGCATAACTTTGGCAGATGTAATTTCGCCAAACTTTGAGAATTCTTGCTTCAATCTCTCGTCATCAACGGAATCATCCAAATTTTGACATAGAGATTCAATCCCTTGTATTTGTTAACCTTTTCTTGCTTCAACTTTTGGAAATATTCCTTCAACTTGGCTCTTCTTTCGCTCTTCTTTTGAGCTCTTCCGACGAACAACTTTTTTCCCTTATACTCCTTTTCGTGCATATCATCGATTGCCAAAAGTGCAGAAGCATGGTCTGCAAAGTTGATAAAACCGAATTCCTTTGATTTGAGATCTTCTCCTCTCATAACAACAGCACTTTGAATCTCACCAAACTTTGAGAACATTTCTCTCAATTCTTTGTCGTCAACGCTTGGATCCAAGTTCTTCACGTAGATGTTTGTGAATGAATCTTCATTACTCAAAATCTTCAATCGTTCGCTCTTCTTTACAAAAGGTCCTACGAAAACTTGTTTACCGTTTAACAACATTCCGTTAACTTTGGCAATAGCTTTTCAGCAGCTTCTTGGGTTTCAAAATGAACGAAACCATATCCAGCTGATTCAGTGCTATTTTCGCCGTTTTCATTCTTCTTGGTTGCTTGGCAAACTTTGCAAGATAAAATGTTACCGAATGCGGAGAATGTATCATAAAGAGCCTTGTTGTCAATTGATTTATCCAAGTTCTTGATGAAGATATTTCCAATACCGCTTTTACGGATAGAAGGATCTCTTTGTGACCACATAATACGGATTGGTCTTCCCTTAACGCTAGTGTAGTTTAGGTATCAAGAGCTCTTTCTGCGTCTTGTGGATTTTGGAAATTTACATATGCATACCCAAGAGATTTACGAGTCATCGCATCACGGCAGATACGAATTGAAATGATTGGACCAACCTCATGGAAAAGGTCGAACAAAAGAGCCTCTGAAATGTCTTCATGTAAATCTCCGACATAGAGTGAAGCTGAACTATAGTTCATTTTATAAGAGAGAGTATGAGTGGTTTGTGAGTGGAAGGATGATGGGAAAAACCGCCTTTGGAGCGTAACGGATGGAGGTATTTTTTCAAAGGAGAAACAAAGCCTCTGCGAGTTTGATACGAGTCAACCACGTGCCTTCTCTTACAACGCTGAGTTTTTTTCGGTTTTTTGGTTCAATCAAAGCATTGAAGAAGACGGTTTGTGCCTGCTTTTTGAGTGGGTGGTGCTGGTGGTGTTGATCATCGATATCATCCCAATGTCGACTTGACGAAAATGACGGCTGGACATGATAGGGTGATGACCAATTCAACAAGTATTACATTTTTCTATAAATGTTGGAATGGGTGATGATGCCTATGAGTTCCTTGTGATGAAATTGGGATGTTGTTGCTAGGTGTGAATACAGTCATTCGATGGCTGATTGCGAGAACATCAGCAATCATCCTTTGCAGCTGGATGGTCAATGATTATTTGTTTTACTTTTAAAGTCCATTCGTTTTGAAGAACTTGTCCATCTTTTCATCGAATTCTTGTTGAATCTTGTCTTTTGCTTGTTTCTCCTTTTGGTTGAGACATATCCATTAAGGCCTTCTCGAATGACAATTTCAGTTTCCATTGAAATTGTTTGATCCACAGCTGTGGATGGACTGAATTTGGATTTGAATTGAATGGAGCTTCTGTTATTTTGCAAAATGTGTTCTTCCACAGTTTCGAAAATCATCAATGAATCAAATAACACAGTTCCAGATTCTGTTTGAATGATCATCTTGATATTCTTACATTCTATATTTGAAATGATTGACAATTCCGAGCAGAAATTTGTCATGTATTCAATATTTGACGAATTTTCATCAGCAAGATTAAAAATAATTTCACAATTATTCAACGCATCTAATTGTAATGTATTAATTTTGTGAACACAATTTGGTCCGATAATAATTTTTGTACTATCACATTTCATGACTTCCACGAATCCTGTTGTGATGGAATTGACATTAAAAGTGAGTGTGGAATGATTGTTTCCATCAAGAATAATTTTCATGCATCGAGCGCCTGTCAATTTAATGTTGGCATGATTGCTATTGGTGACGTAGAGTAGATCGTTGGATTGGAAATTATTTTCTTCAACGGTGGTGTTGTTGTGGGTGATGAATTGTTGGGTTCTTCTTGCAAAGGGTGATGGTGGAAATGACATTTTTTGAATGTACTTTTGACAAGTGATTTCCTTATTCATCACAAAACTCAAAGCATCATTTAGGAAATAAGAGAGAGACTCGGCCTTATTCCAACAAGAATGTCCTGAGATTCTATCCTCTCATTTGGGTTCACTCTGATAATGCAATGAAAGCAGTGTTCGCAAACTTTAATAATTGAGACATTGACAATCTTGGAGGAGGATGGTATTCTTAAAATCATGTCAAAGAAAATTGCACTAGTTACAAGTGCAATCCAACGCACATGTTTGTATCATCTCAATATTATTTCCATCTGCCAAGGAACTCATGTTGGAAGCAGTGAAGAATATTGGGTTATATTTCGCTAGTAATTTAAAGCAAGAAAGCAACATCTTTCTTTGTTATCATTAAATACAAGTTTGCATGTCGTTGTTGTTGCAGAACCATCAACACAAAACCATTGCATTTGAATGCTTCCATCACGAGTGATGTATCTTTTGCAATTCTTCACTTGCATCGTCATATCCATAA